GACACAGAGAGAAACACACAGAGAGACACACAGAGACAGACACACAGACAGACAACACAGAGACACAGAGAGAGACACACAGAGAGAAGACAGAGAGAGAGTCACACAGACAGACAACACAGAGACACAGAGAGAGACACACAGAGAGAAGACACAGAGAGAGAGAGACACACACAGACAGACAACACAGAGACACAGAGAGAGACACACACACAGGCACACAGAGACACAGAGAGAGACAGACAGACAACACAGAGACACAGAGAGAGACACACAGAGAGACAACACAGAGACACAGAGAGAGAGACAGACAGACAACACAGAGACAGAGAGAGACACACAGAGAGAAGACAGAGAGAGAGAGACACACAGACAGACAACACAGAGACACAGAGAGAGACACACAGAGAGAAGACAGAGAGAGAGACACACACACAGACAGACAACACAGAGACACAAAGAGACACACACACAGGCACACAGAGAAACAACGGCTCTGTGTCGAGGCCTTAAATAGAGAGAGAGGGACGGGGGTTGGGGCAGAGAGAGAGAGGGGGGGTAGAGAAATTAGCATGTCAATGAGAGAGTTGTGTGGAAATCCACCCCGTAGCGGCCGGAGGAGAGAAAGAGCGAATGGACCTGTAGACAAACAAGCCTGGCAACTTTTTAGAGAGAAAAAAAGTTTGTGAAAACAAACTTAGTCAAATTTGGAAGTGTAAGATGGGTGAGCGGCCTCCACGGCGAGCGTGCTGAGGTGGCTATGTTGACGTGAGAGATTAGCGTGTTAATGGGATATCGCAGAGCCGTGTTGGTGTGAGAAGGATGTCTTCCCTGACATGCAATACCCCGGCGTCTACAAACTAAGCTGTGAATGCGGCAGTAGTTACGTTGGGGTAACTAAGCGACATGTCTCGGACCCTGTTCGTGAACACAAGGCAGATCTGAAACACGGTAGGACCAATACCTCGGCCGTGGCCGATCATTGTTTTAATGAGGTGTGCTCACACGATATTGACTTCCCTACGACGAAGGTACTTTGCAAACCCACTGGCTATCAACAAAGATTCGTTCATGAAGCCATCCAAATATACAGACACAATTTCAACCGAGGAGATGGATACAAAGTTAGCAATCATTGGAAGGACGTTATCAACCAGTTTAAGTTATAACTGGCTGTGATGTTCCCATCCTGCCACGTTCGGATGTTAGTCGTTAATATCGGCTCTCCGATTTTACATTAACAGGTTAAATTTCTCACACCAACACAGCCACCTTCGGGCGCCGTACTGCGATGACTGGGCAGCCGTGGTCACTGTGACTGGGCAGCCGTGGTCACTGTGACTGGGCAGCCGTGGTCACTGTGTTGACTGGGCAGCCATGGTCACTGTGACTGGGCAGCCGTGGTCACTGTGACTGGGCAGTCGTGGTCACTGTGTTGACTGGGCAGTCGTGGTCACTGTGTTGACTGGGTAGTCGTGGTCACTGTGTTGACTGGACAGCCGTGGTCACTGTGACTGGGCAGCCGTGGTCACTGCATTGACTGGGCAGCCGTGGTCACTGTGTTGACTGGGCAGCCGTGGTCACTGTGTTGACTGGGCAGCCGTGGTCACTGTGTTGACTGGGTAGCCGTGGTCACTGTGTTGACTGGGCAGCCGTGGTCACTGTGTTGACTGGGCAGCCATGGTCACTGTGTTGACTGGACAGCCGTGGTCACTGTGACTGGGCAGCCATGGTCACTGCATTGACTGGGCAGCCGTGGTCACTGTGACTGGGCAGCCGTGGTCACTGTGACTGGGCAGCCGTGGTCACTGTGTCGACTGGGCAGCCGTGGTCACTGTGACTGGGCAGCCGTGGTCAATGTGTTGACTGGGCAGCCGTGGTCACTGTGACTGGGCAGCCGTGGTCACTGTGTTGACTGGGCAGCCATGGTCACTGTGACTGGGCAGCCGTGGTCACTGTGTTGACTGGGCAGCCGTGGTCACTGTGACTGGACAGCCGTGGTCACTGTGTTGACTGGGCAGCCGTGGTCACTGTTACTGGGCAGCCGTGGTCACTGCGTTGACTGGGCAGCCGTGGTCACTGCGTTGACTGGGCAGTCGTGGTCACTGTGTTGACTGGGCAGCCGTGGTCACTGTGTTGACTGGGCAGCCAATGGTCACTGTGTTGACTGGGCAGTCGTGGTCACTGTGTTGACTGGGCAGCCGTGGTCACTGCGTTGACTGGGCAGTCGTGGTCACTGTGTTGACTGGGCAGCCGTGGTCACTGTGTTGACTGGGCAGCCATGGTCACTGTGTTGACTGGGCAGTCGTGGTCACTGTGTTGACTGGGCAGCGGTGGTCACTGCGTTGACTGGGCAGCAGTGGTCACTGTGACTGGGCAGCCGTGGTCACTGTGTTGACTGGGCAGCCGTGGTCACTGCGTTGACTGGGTAGCCGTGGTCACTGTGTTGACTGGGCAGCCGGGGTCACTGTGTTGACTGGGCAGCCGTGGTCAATGTGTTGACTGGGCAGCCGTGGTCACTGTGACTGGGCAGCCGTGGTCACTGTGTTGACTGGGCAGCCGTGGTCACTGTGACTGGGCAGCCGTGGTCACTGTGTTGACTGGGCAGCCGTGGTCACTGTGACTGGGCAGCCGTGGTCACTGCGTTGACTGGGCAGTCGTGGCCACTGTGTTGACTGGGCAGCCGTGGTCACTGTGACTGGACAGCCGTGGTCACTGTGTTGACTGGGTAGTCGTGGTCACTGTGTTGACTGGGCAGCCGTGGTCACTGTGACTGGGCAGCCGTGGTCACTGTGTTGACTGGGCAGCTGGGGTCACTGTGTTGACTGGGCAGCCGTGGTCAATGTGTTGACTGGGCAGCCGTGGTAACTGTGTTGACTGGGCAGCCGTGGTCACTGTGACTGGGCAGCCGTGGTCACTGTGACTGGGCAGCCGTGGCCACTGTGTTGACTGGGCAGCCGTGGTCACTGTGTTGACTGGGCAGCCGTGGTCAATGTGTTGACTGGGCAGCCGTGGTCACTGTGTTGACTGGGCAGCCGTGGCCACTGTGTTGACTGGGCAGCTGTGGTTACTGTGACTGGACAGCCGTGGTCACTGTGACTGGGAAGCCGTGGTCACTGTGTTGACTGGGCAGCCGTGGTCACTGTGACTGGGAAGCCGTGGTCACTGTGTTGACTGGGCAGCCGTGGTCACTGTGTTGACTGGGCAGCCGTGGTCACTGTGACTGGGCAGCCGTGGCCACTGTGTTGACTGGGCAGCCGTGGTCACTGCGTTGACTGGACAGCCGTGGTCACTGTGTTGACTGGGCAGCCGTGGTCACTGTGTTGACTGGGTAGCCGTGGTCACTGTGTTGACTGGGCAGCCGTGGTCACTGTGTTGACTGGGCAGCCATGGTCACTGTGTTGACTGGACAGCCGTGGTCACTGTGACTGGGCAGCCATGGTCACTGCATTGACTGGGCAGCCGTGGTCACTGTGACTGGGCAGCCGTGGTCACTGTGACTGGGCAGCCGTGGTCACTGTGTCGACTGGGCAGCCGTGGTCACTGTGACTGGGCAGCCGTGGTCACTGTGTTGACTGGGCAGCCGTGGTCACTGTGACTGGGCAGCCGTGGTCACTGTGTTGACTGGGCAGCCGTGGTCACTGTGACTGGGCAGCCGTGGTCACTGTGTTGACTGGGCAGCCGTGGTCACTGTGACTGGACAGCCGTGGTCACTGTGTTGACTGGGCAGCCGTGGTCACTGTTACTGGGCAGCCGTGGTCACTGCGTTGACTGGGCAGCCGTGGTCACTGCGTTGACTGGGCAGTCGTGGTCACTGTGTTGACTGGGCAGCCGTGGTCACTGTGTTGACTGGGCAGCAAATGGTCACTGTGTTGACTGGGCAGTCGTGGTCACTGTGTTGACTGGGCAGCCGTGGTCACTGCGTTGACTGGGCAGTCGTGGTCACTGTGTTGACTGGGCAGCCGTGGTCACTGTGTTGACTGGGCAGCCATGGTCACTGTGTTGACTGGGCAGTCGTGGTCACTGTGTTGACTGGGCAGCCGTGGTCACTGTGTTGACTGGGCAGCCATGGTCACTGTGTTGACTGGGCAGCCGTGGTCACTGTGTTGACTGGGCAACCGTGGTCACTGCGTTGACTGGGCAGCCATAGTCACTGTGTTGACTAGGCAGCCGTGGTCACTGTGACTGGGCAGCCGTGGTCACTATGTTGACTGGGCAGCCGTGGTCACTGTGTTGACTGGGCAGCCGTGGTCACTGTGTTGACTGGGCAGCCGTGGTCACTGTGTTGACTGGGCAGCCGTGGTCACTGTGTTGACTGGGCAGCCGTGGTCACTGCGTTGACTGGGCAGCAGTGGTCACTGTGACTGGGCAGCCGTGGCCACTGTGTTGACTGGGCAGCCGTGGTCACTGTGTTGACTGGGCAGCCGTGGTCACTGTGTTGACTGGGCAGCCGTGGTCACTGTGTTGACTGGGCAGCCGTGGTCACTGCGTTGACTGGGCAGCAGTGGTCACTGTGACTGGGCAGCCGTGGTCACTGTGTTGACTGGGCAGCCGTGGTCACTGCGTTGACTGGGTAGCCGTGGTCACTGTGTTGACTGGGCAGCCGGGGTCACTGTGTTGACTGGGCAGCCGTGGTCAATGTGTTGACTGGGCAGCCGTGGTCACTGTGACTGGGCAGCCGTGGTCACTGTGTTGACTGGGCAGCCGTGGTCACTGTGACTGGGCAGCCGTGGTCACTGTGTTGACTGGGCAGCCGTGGTCACTGTGACTGGGCAGCCGTGGTCACTGCGTTGACTGGGCAGTCGTGGCCACTGTGTTGACTGGGCAGCCGTGGTCACTGTGACTGGACAGCCGTGGTCACTGTGTTGACTGGGTAGTCGTGGTCACTGTGTTGACTGGGCAGCCGTGGTCACTGTGACTGGGCAGCCGTGGTCACTGTGTTGACTGGGCAGCCGGGGTCACTGTGTTGACTGGGCAGCCGTGGTCAATGTGTTGACTGGGCAGCCGTGGTAACTGTGTTGACTGGGCAGCCGTGGTCACTGTGTTGACTGGGCAGCCGTGTGCGCGAGTGAGCCGTCTTGTGCTGCACGCAGGCGTCCCACGTCCGGGTGACCTCACGCGGTTTTTGGTTCCGGCGCTCGGCGTTTTGTGTTCCGGGAGCGCGGAACCGCTCAATGGGTCGGCCGTGACCCTCCCTCCTAGCGTATAACGACAAAGTTAGACTTTGTGTGCTTCGTTAGGTTCGTTAAGATCGCGTTTATAAACATAGCGACGTACATCCTGGCATAATGGCCTGACGAAGCTGGTGCTTAGTGATCTCCAGCGGAAATCTGAAAGTGATCGCATCGTAAACTCCGCCTGGGCCGACAACTTGGTTAGCCGCGAGGTTTGTTTACTTAAAACTCACAAAGTTTGTTTACTTAAAACTCACAAAGTTTGTTTACTTAAAACTCACAAAGTTTGTTTACTTAAACCTCACAAGGTTTGTTTACTTAAAACTCACAAAGTTTGTTTACTTAAAACTCACAAAGTTTGTTTACTTAAACCTCACAAGGTTTGTTTACTTAAACCTCACAAGGTTTGTTTACTTAAACCTCACAAGGTTTGTTTACTTAAACCTCACAAGGTTTGTTTACTTAAACCTCACAAGGTTTGTTTACTTAAACCTCACAAGGTTTGTTTACTTAAACCTCACAAGGTTTGTTTACTTAAACCTCACAAGGTTTGTTTACTTAAACCTCACAAGGTTTGTTTACTTAAACCTCACAAGGTTTGTTTACTTAAACCTCACAAGGTTTGTTTACTTAAACCTCACAAGGTTTGTTTACTTAAACCTCACAAGGTTTGTTTACTTAAACCTCACAAGGTTTGTTTACTTAAACCTCACAAGGTTTGTTTACTTAAACCTCACAAGGTTTGTTTACTTAAACCTCACAAGGTTTGTTTACTTAAACCTCACAAGGTTTGTTTACTTAAACCTCACAAGGTTTGTTTACTTAAACCTCACAAGGTTTGTTTACTTAAACCTCACAAGGTTTGTTTACTTAAACCTCACAAGGTTTGTTTACTTAAACCTCACAAGGTTTGTTTACTTAAACCTCACAAGGTTTGTTTACTTAAACCTCACAAGGTTTGTTTACTTAAACCTCACAAGGTTTGTTTACTTAAACCTCACAAGGTTTGTTTACTTAAACCTCACAAGGTTTGTTTACTTAAACCTCACAAGGTTTGTTTACTTAAACCTCACAAGGTTTGTTTACTTAAACCTCACAAGGTTTGTTTACTTAAACCTCACAAGGTTTGTTTACTTAAACCTCACAAGGTTTGTTTACTTAAACCTCACAAGGTTTGTTTACTTAAACCTCACAAGGTTTGTTTACTTAAACCTCACAAGGTTTGTTTACTTAAACCTCACAAGGTTTGTTTACTTAAACCTCACAAGGTTTGTTTACTTAAACCTCACAAGGTTTGTTTACTTAAACCTCACAAGGTTTGTTTACTTAAACCTCACAAGGTTTGTTTACTTAAACCTCACAAGGTTTGTTTACTTAAACCTCACAAGGTTTGTTTACTTAAACCTCACAAGGTTTGTTTACTTAAACCTCACAAGGTTTGTTTACTTAAACCTCACAAGGTTTGTTTACTTAAACCTCACAAGGTTTGTTTACTTAAACCTCACAAGGTTTGTTTACTTAAACCTCACAAGGTTTGTTTACTTAAAACTCACAAGGTTTGTTTACTTAAACCTCACAAGGTTTGTTTACTTAAACCTCACAAGGTTTGTTTACTTAAACCTCACAAGGTTTGTTTACTTAAACCTCACAAGGTTTGTTTACTTAACCTCACAAGGTTTGTTTACTTAAACCTCACAAGGTTTGTTTACTTAAACCTCACAAGGTTTGTTTACTTAAACCTCACAAGGTTTGTTTACTTAAACCTCACAAGGTTTGTTTACTTAAAACTCACAAGGTTTGTTTACTTAAACCTCACAAGGTTTGTTTACTAAACCTCACAAGGTTTGTTTACTTAAACCTCACAAGGTTTGTTTACTTAAACCTCACAAGGTTTGTTTACTTAAAACTCACAAGGTTTGTTTACTTAAACCTCACAAGGTTTGTTTACTTAAACCTCACAAGGTTTGTTTACTTAAACCTCACAAGGTTTGTTTACTTAAACCTCACAAGGTTTGTTTACTTAAACCTCACAAGGTTTGTTTACTTAAACCTCACAAGGTTTGTTTACTTAAACCTCACAAGGTTTGTTTACTTAAACCTCACAAGGTTTGTTTACTTAAACCTCACAAGGTTTGTTTACTTAAACCTCACAAGGTTTGTTTACTTAAAACCTCACAAGGTTTGTTTACTTAAACCTCACAAGGTTTGTTTACTTAAACCTCACAAGGTTTGTTTACTTAAACCTCACAAGGTTTGTTTACTTAAACCTCACAAGGTTTGTTTACTTAAACCTCACAAGGTTTGTTTACTTAAACCTCACAAGGTTTGTTTACTTAAACCTCACAAGGTTTGTTTACTTAAACCTCACAAGGTTTGTTTACTTAAACCTCACAAGGTTTGTTTACTTAAACCTCACAAGGTTTGTTTACTTAAACCTCACAAGGTTTGTTTACTTAAACCTCACAAGGTTTGTTTACTTAAACCTCACAAGGTTTGTTTACTTAAACCTCACAAGGTTTGTTTACTTAAACCTCACAAGGTTTGTTTACTTAAACCTCACAAGGTTTGTTTACTTAAACCTCACAAGGTTTGTTTACTTAAACCTCACAAGGTTTGTTTACTTAAACCTCACAAGGTTTGTTTACTTAAACCTCACAAGGTTTGTTTACTTAAACCTCACAAGGTTTGTTTACTTAAACCTCACAAGGTTTGTTTACTTAAACCTCACAAGGTTTGTTTACTTAAACCTCACAAGGTTTGTTTACTTAAACCTCACAAGGTTTGTTTACTTAAACCTCACAAGGTTTGTTTACTTAAACCTCACAAGGTTTGTTTACTTAAACCTCACAAGGTTTGTTTACTTAAACCTCACAAGGTTTGTTTACTTAAACCTCACAAGGTTTGTTTACTTAAACCTCACAAGGTTTGTTTACTTAAACCTCACAAGGTTTGTTTACTTAAACCTCACAAGGTTTGTTTACTTAAACCTCACAAGGTTTGTTTACTTAAACCTCACAAGGTTTGTTTACTTAAACCTCACAAGGTTTGTTTACTTAAACCTCACAAGGTTTGTTTACTTAAACCTCACAAGGTTTGTTTACTTAAACCTCACAAGGTTTGTTTACTTAAACCTCACAAGGTTTGTTTACTTAAACCTCACAAGGTTTGTTTACTTAAACCTCACAAGGTTTGTTTACTTAAACCTCACAAGGTTTGTTTACTTAAACCTCACAAGGTTTGTTTACTTAAACCTCACAAGGTTTGTTTACTTAAACCTCACAAGGTTTGTTTACTTAAACCTCACAAGGTTTGTTTACTTAAACCTCACAAGGTTTGTTTACTTAAACCTCACAAGGTTTGTTTACTTAAACCTCACAAGGTTTGTTTACTTAAACCTCACAAGGTTTGTTTACTTAAACCTCACAAGGTTTGTTTACTTAAACCTCACAAGGTTTGTTTACTTAAACCTCACAAGGTTTGTTTACTTAAACCTCACAAGGTTTGTTTACTTAAACCTCACAAGGTTTGTTTACTTAAACCTCACAAGGTTTGTTTACTTAAACCTCACAAGGTTTGTTTACTTAAACCTCACAAGGTTTGTTTACTTAAACCTCACAAGGTTTGTTTACTTAAACCTCACAAGGTTTGTTTACTTAAACCTCACAAGGTTTGTTTACTTAAACCTCACAAGGTTTGTTTACTTAAACCTCACAAGGTTTGTTTACTTAAACCTCACAAGGTTTGTTTACTTAAACCTCACAAGGTTTGTTTACTTAAACCTCACAAGGTTTGTTTACTTAAACCTCACAAGGTTTGTTTACTTAAACCTCACAAGGTTTGTTTACTTAAACCTCACAAGGTTTGTTTACTTAAACCTCACAAGGTTTGTTTACTTAAACCTCACAAGGTTTGTTTACTTAAACCTCACAAGGTTTGTTTACTTAAACCTCACAAGGTTTGTTTACTTAAACCTCACAAGGTTTGTTTACTTAAACCTCACAAGGTTTGTTTACTTAAACCTCACAAGGTTTGTTTACTTAAACCTCACAAGGTTTGTTTACTTAAACCTCACAAGGTTTGTTTACTTAAACCTCACAAGGTTTGTTTACTTAAACATCACAAGTTTGTTTACTTAAACCTCACAAGGTTTGTTTACTTAAACCTCACAAGGTTTGTTTACTTAATCCTCACAAGGTTTGTTTACTTAAACCTCACAAGGTTTTGTTACTTAAACCTCACAAGGTTTGTTTACTTAAACCTCACAAGGTTTGTTTACTTAAACCTCACAAGGTTTGTTTACTTAAACCTCACAAGGTTTGTTTACTTAAAACCTCACAAGGTTTGTTTACTTAAACTCACAAGGTTTTGTTTACTTAAACCTCACAAGGTTTGTTTACTTAAACCTCACAAGGTTTGTTTACTTAAACCTCACAAGGTTTGTTTACTTAAACCTCACAAGGTTTGTTTACTTAAACCTCACAAGGTTTGTTTACACTTAAACCTCACAAGGTTTGTTTACTTAAACCTCACAAGTTTGTTTACTTAAACCTCACAAGGTTTGTTTACTTAAACCTCACAAGGTTTGTTTACTTAAACCTCACAAGGTTTGTTTACTTAAACCTCACAAGGTTTGTTTACTTAAAACCTCACAAGGTTTGTTTACTTAAACCTCACAAGGTTTTAGTTTTACCTTAAACCTCACAAGGTTTGTTACTTAAACCTCACAAGGTTTGTTTACTTAAAACTCACAGAGTTTGTTTACTTAAACCTCACAAGGTTTGTTTACTTAAACCTCACAAGGTTTGTTTACTTAAACCTCACAAGGTTTGTTTACTTAAAACCTCACAAGGTGTTGTTTACTTAAACCTCACAAGGTTTGTTACTTAAACCTCACAAGGTTTGTTTACTTAAACCTCACAAGGTTTGTTTACTTAAACCTCACAAGGTTTGTTTACTTAAACCTCACAAGGTTTGTTTACTTAAACCTCACAAGGTTTGTTTACTTAAACCTCACAAGGTTTGTTTACTTAAACCTCACAAGGTTTGTTTACTTAAACCTCACAAGGTTTGTTTACTTAAACCTCACAAGGTTTGTTTACTTAAACCTCACAAGGTTTGTTTACTTAAACCTCACAAGGTTTGTTTACTTAAACCTCACAAGGTTTGTTTACTTAAACCTCACAAGGTTTGTTTACTTAAACCTCACAAGGTTTGTTTACTTAAACCTCACAAGGTTTGTTTACTTAAACCTCACAAGGTTTGTTTACTTAAACCTCACAAACAAACCTCACAAACAAACCTTGTGAGGTTTGTTTACGTAAACAAACCTCACAAACAAACCTCACAAACAAACCTCACAAGGTTTGTTTACGTAAACAAACCTCACAAACAAACCTCACAAACAAACCTCACGAGGTTTGTTTGTGAGGTAAACAAACCTCACAAACAAACCTCACAAGGTTTGTTTACGTAAACAAACCTCACAAACAAACCTCGCGAGGTTTGTTTACGTTTGTGAGGTAAACAAACCTCACAAACAAACCTCAGAGGTTTGTTTACGTTTGTGAGGTAAACAAACCTCACAAACAAACCTCACGAGGTTTGTTTACTTGTTTACGTAAACAAACCTCACAAACAAAAACCTCACAAACAAAAACCTCACGAATCGGCTGTGCTCAGGTGTCGGTGAGTTAACGACACATTTATATATTTACGAGATGTAATCTGACAAAATAACGTTTTACCTTCGTTACTGAGTGTAACTGAAATGTGCGGTTAATGTATTCTTATTATTTCGTATTAAATGCGCACAGTCTAAACTAGATTGGAAGCTTCGTCTAGTTTGAGAAGTAATTAAAGTGACGAACGACGCCAGTGATTACAACAACATCATTCAAACGCTCCGAGTTGGGGTGATTTTTTTAATTTATTTACACGTTTTTATTTAACTTGTATCCTCAAATCTTGTAACTACAATTTCTACCCACTTCCCAATGTGGTATCGAATGCAAACCTGGCATACTTACGTCACACTGATGACAATACTATATTTTATCATTCACATTAAATATATATTTTTAAACATTATTTTTATACGTTCTGTTTCGGCTTGTGTCTTAATTATTCACGCTCAGCTAACGTTGGCTGTAAATCACCACGGGCCCCATTACGTTGTGGCAAACTTCGGGGCAACTTCCTAAGTCGTGAAGTTTTGCCATTACTAGTACGGTACATTTCACTAAAGCGTGTTTAAAAAAAAAGGATTTGTAAATATTACTGTTTTGGCTGGACGTGAATTGCTATCGCTGAACGGATTACCCTAATTTAGAGAGTTTCCCCGTCCGCGCCTATGCGGCTTGGCACGAATTTAGGGTAATCGGAGTGTGATCACATCGCGTGTTAGGTGATTATTAGGTCGACTTCAGTATTGCGTGACTACACCGGTGAACTGGTTCACCCCCCAATGTTGACGCACTGCCAACCTGTGTCTATGGCAGACCCGTCAACCCCTTATCAGTGCCCCTGCCTTATCACAGACCAATTCAGACCTCATTGATCACTCCATGCCCCTAACACAGGGGGTGAGGAACCTTTTCTCTGCCAAGGGCCATTTGGATATTTATATAACATCATCATTCGCGGGGCCATACAAAATGATCAAGTTAAAAATGTGCCCGTTATATTTGGTCAAACATTTAATTAACTCACCCCCAATGCGATGGGCTGGAACTGCTTCTCTTTGGCGAGGCGTGTGATGATGTTAGCCGGTATTGACGATGTTGCTGCTACTCGCAACTGCTTTTCCAGGTTTGCTCCCCGATTTATTGAATTTCGAGTCCCGCCTGATGTTGCCTTGGCAGGGCCAGAGACCAAATGATTCCGCGGTGCCTCATACGGCCCGCGGACCGGACGTTCCCCACCCCTGCCGCCTAACAAATCTCAACGAGGGCAGAGGAGCGATGCTCACAACAAGGAAGAAACACGAACAAATAGACATTGTTTTTGCCCGTATTGAAACGGCTGTACGCCGTATTGGACCTGAAAACTCAATTTCCCTGTACAAGAATACGGGGTGAACCGTGTGGGTTGACAGCTATCGGTTGGCAGTGTTCTTCACCGATAATAATTATACATCGTCATCGGTCGTGTGAGTGATGGCCGCCTGACAGCAGCACGATGATGATGGGGTCCTTGCAATGTAGAACCACTCCTCTATGCCGGTGGTTCTTCTTAACCCGGGGTGCAGCTTGCAACCCCCTGGGGGATGCCCTTTCTGGGGCTAGTGAGACATGGCCAGATTAGTTTTTTTTAAGACGGTAAATCATCGAAAACAAATTAAGCATGGACACGCAAGTACAACTTTGATTCATCAAACCTGAGTATTGACATTTATTTTAACAATTGAGAACCAAAAGGGGCGCGGGGCTGCAGTAAAGGTTAAGAACCACTGCTCTATGCGATGGCTATGAAGAAGAGCCATTGCCCGAAACGTCGGCTATTATATACTTTTTCCTTTTCAGGCCACGGTGTAATTGACGGATGTACTTTTATTGGGGATTTTTCGCGAACGTAATTTGTCCCCACAGTCGGTGAAGCTGACCCAGGCAGTGTGTCTGTGTGTCTATGTCTGCGTTGGCTGGTTCATGTAGCTGGCATGCCCAGCCACCGCATGCCTAAACAGTTTTTGTTCGGTTAGCTAAACGGGCACGGCACGGGCTAGATAAGAGATGGAGTGATGTGGTACAGGAGGATGTGGAGCTGAGTGGACTTGCCGATGACTGGTACCAACGGTGTCAAGATCGGCCTCTGGAGGAGGCTCGTGAAGGACGCTACTGGGCAGTTGGAGGCAGTCGCCCTCCAACTACAACGGAGGGCAGAGGAGCGACGCTCACAACAACGAGTGGAGCGCCGGGTGGCTAAAGCACAGCAATTTGCACAGTCGGGGGCACAGGTGGTGCATCGGTCAATCATCTCAGTCGACCCGTGGCACCTGGGTCTGCCCCGTGACCTCCTGCCAGCGGGCGTTCGACACTTCACGTGGCCTCAACGTGCACATAGCCTGGCACAAGCGCCGTGGTAATGTCACTGACACTTCGTGGTGAATGGCGGTTATTGTGTCTGTGTCTGTGGGGAGCGGTAGTGTAGCGGTAAGCCCACTGCGCTACAAACCCGGCAACCAGAATTCGATTCCTGCTCATGGCCAACACCAGCGACGATTATCTGAACCGGTCCTGGGCCTCCCCTAGGTCGACTAAGCCTCAAATGAGTACCTGGTGCGGTGTGTAGTAAACATCACCACTGGGTAGACAAAGGTGGCTGGGCGTGGGGTTGTTCACCAACCCCCTCGTGTACCGTGCCGGCCTTCATAGGTGCTGCTCGCTAACAGCATTTGCCCCACAGCCTGTTAAGGCTGCAAGGGGAATCTTTGTGTGTGTGTGTGTCCACATCAAGGTCCACGCTGCACCGTGAGCCCCTACGCCGAGCGACGCCAAAGCCACGCGCAGCATGAAGCTCTCCTCGTCGCCCGTGTGGGTGGTGGTGCGGTTTGCTGTCTTCACGAGGGTCGCCACGCTGCTGCTGCAGGTGGGGGTTGGGGACCCACGCTCGTTACCCTGCGAGCACTCCCAGGCCTCGTGTTGCTCGTCTCGGCTCGGGCTTGGCTTTGGCTCCATTGAGCTGCGGCTCAAAGCCACGCTTGCTACTCTCACTATTTTTATTTTAATCAGGTAAGGCCCATTGAGCTAACGAAGTGACGGCTTATCACGTAGCAGCTAAAAGCACGTCGATTCTAAATTTGGAGGGAAAAACCGGAGGACCTGGAGTAAAATCCACGCGACCATAGCGGGAGAGACACGCAAACTCCACACGTGCAGCGGCCGTCGGGGTAGAGATCGAACTCACGACCTGTATACCAGTCGAAGCAGTTAACATCCTACCACCGTGGCGCCCCGGCTTAACTTGACGTATAATTGTGTATCGTCACACGCGGTTTGAGCCACGCTCAGGATTCATGAGCCGAGCCTGAGGTGAGCCGCTGCTGAGCCGCCCGCTCAACGCGTCTTTGGAAGCAGCCGAGCAGTTCTGGCCAGAGTGTTGGAGCCGAGCCGTCACTAAGACAGTCGGCACGGGGGAGGTGGCCGAGTGGATCAGAAGTCAGAGCCCTGAGCTGTCACCGATCCCATCCGGGATTCGAATCCTGGCAAGTTGCCTGTGATTAAAATCCATTTCTCAAGTGGTAGTGAGTTTGATTCTTCCAGCCTGGTCTCCAGTGGCTGCATAAATAGTCACCAATGGATGTTCAGCCGCTGCTTTTTGTTTTCATAAATTCCTGCTTTGGGGAATTAAAAATATCGGCTTGACTATCATGGGCCCAACATTACTGTGATATGGCAGACCGGGTTGGAAAGTGCTGCCCTCTGCTGTGTGTGCACCAGAGGTCACTGGAGTGGATCTCGGGAGGTGGCTCTGCGGTTTCTGCTTTCACGGGCCCGCCTTGTAACGCCCAAGTGTTACACTGTGCGATGAGATCTTAACGTACCCCCGTTGTCACGAGACCACACCGACAGCGCAGTTCGGATAACATGGGGGTAAAAACAAACACAAAGGCCAACAGAGACTTGACGTATAATTGTGCATCGTCACACTTGGTGGCAGACCCCACCCCCCATCCCGCACTCGGGCTGACGGGGGAAGCGTTGTGGCCGGACGTCGGGAGGGAGACGGAGTGGTGCCACGGGAGTGCACGTTCCGTGGCCAGCGCCCGCTCATTCTCATTCTTCACCTCCTCTTGCCCCCCCCCCCCAACTCCCACCCCTTTTTCCTCCTCTTCCCTCCTCCCACCGCCACCTCCCCGTCATCAGCTGCCGCTCAACCTGCTGATCCCCGACCACGACCCGGACGCGTTTGCTCCCCCGTCGTCCGCCCACGAGTCTCCCTTCTCGCGCGCCGTGGAGTGGTCGCTGGGCGGCCTCGCGCGCTGGGACGCCGCCTACTTCCTGTTTGTGGCCGAGCACGGCTACGCCTACGAGCAGAGCGTAGCCTTCTTCCCTCTCTTCCCCGCGCTCGTCAGAACGCTGGCGTTTGTCGGCATCGGCGACCACGACAAGAGCAACGGCGGCTCCGGCGGCTCCGGCCACCCGGACGTCCGCGGCCGCTTGATCCTTTCCGCCGTCTGCCTGAACGCCGTCGCGTTCGCGGCGGCGGCGGCCGCCCTCTACGGCCTCGGGGCGGCCGCGCTGCGCGACGAGGCCCTGGCGCTGCGCGCCGCGCTGCTCTTCTGCGCCACGCCGGCCTCCGTCTTCATGTCGGCCGCCTACTCCGAGAGCCTCTTCGCGTGCCTCTCCTTCGCGGCGGCGCTCGCGCTGGAGCTGCGCCGGCGCGGCACCGGCGTCGCCCTCTTCGCCCTGTCGGCGGCGGCCCGCGCCAACGGCATCGTGTCGGCCGGGTTCCCCGTGCACCGAGCGCTCGCGCTCTGCGCCGACTCGTGCCGCCGCCGCGGGCGGGCCCGCGCGTCCGACGTCCTCTCGGTCGCGTTGGCGGCGGTCTCGGCGGCGGCCGTCGCCGCCCCGTTCGTCGCCTTCCAGGCCTACGGCCGCGACGTCTTCTGCCGGAGCGGCGACGGCGGCGGCGGCGGCGGCGTCGTCGCGTTCCCCGAGCGCCTCCTGGCGTACGCGCGGAGCAGGGGCTACGCCGTGCGGGGGGCCGCGCGCTCCGCCGAGTCCCCGGCTGAGTACTGCCATGCCGGCTGGCCGACGCTCTACGGGCACGTCCAGCGGACGCACTGGGACGTGGGCTTCCTGCGCTACTACACGGCTCGCCAGCTGCCCAACTTCGCGCTGGCGGCGCCTATGGCCGTGCTGGCCGGCGCGGCCGTGTGGAGCTACGCGAGGCGAAACTGGCGGCTGTGCCTGAGGCTTGGGCTCGTGCAGGACGGTGCGGGCAGAGAGGAGGTGAGAACTGGCGAGCGGAGGCGGTGGCGAGCGGTGAGCTTCCGGTGCGGTTTGCGTCGCTGTTGAAACGCCACCATCGCCACCACCATCACCGCCATTGCTACCGCCATGGCCGACACCATAACCACCACTGCTACCACCATCACCGTCACTACCGCCATCATCACCGCCACTATCGCCACCCGCAGTGGCTTCAGTGCGTGCGTCGGATCCCCCGGTTCCCACGCCGCGGGGCCCGCACGACCTCGACACACGACCCAGACACACGACCCAGACACACGACCCAGACACACGACCCAGACACACGACCCAGACACACGACCCAGACACACGACCCAGACACACGACTCAGACACACGACCCAGACACACGACCCAGACACACGACCCAGACACACGACCCAGACACACGACCCAGACACACGACCCAGACACACGACCCAGACACACGACCCAAACACACGACCCGGACACACGACCCAGACACACGACTCAGACACACGACCCAGACACACGACCCAGACACACGACCCGGACACACGACCCGGACACACGACCCAGACACACGACCCGGACACACGACCCAGACACACGACTCAGACACACGACCCCGACACACGACCCAGACACACGACCCAGACACACGACCCAGACACACGACCCAGACACACGACCCAGACACACGACCCAGACACACGACCCAGACACACGACTCAGACACACGACCCAGACACACGACCCAAACACACGACCCCGACACACGACCCAGACACACGACCCGGACACACGACCCAGACACACGACTCAGACACACGACCCAGACACACGACCCAGACACACGACCCGGACACACGACCCGGACACACGACCCAGACACACGACCCGGACACACGACCCAGACACACGACTCAGACACACGACCCAGACACACGACCCCGACACACGACTCAGACACACGACCCCGACACACGACCCAAACACACGACCCCGACACACGACCCAGACACACGACCCAGACACACGACCCAGACACACGACCCAGACACACGACCCAGACACACGACACAAACACGACCCCGACACACGACCCCGACACACGACCCCGACACACGACCCAGACACACGACCCAAACACACGACCCAGACACACGACCCAGACACACGACCCAGACACACGACCCAGACACACGACCCGGACACACGACCCGGACACACGACACAAACACGACCCGGACACACGACCCAGACACACGACACAAACACGACCCGGACACACGACCCAGACACACGACACAAACACACGACCCAAACACACGACCCGGACACACGACCCGGACACACGACCCAGACACACGACCCGGACACACGACCCAGACACACGACCCAGACACACGACCCGGACACACGACCCAGACACACGACCCAGACACACGACACAGACACACGACCCAGACACACGACCCAGACACACGACCCGGACACACGACCCGGACACACGACCCAGACACACGACCCAGACACACGACCCAGACACACGACCCAGACACACGACCCAGACACACGACCCAGACCCAGACACACGACCCAAACACACGACCCAGACACACGACCCAGACCCAGACACACGACCCAGACACACGACACAGACACACGACCCAGACACACGACCCAGACACACGACCCGGACACACGACCCGGACACACGACCCAGACACACGACCCAGACACACGACCCAGACACACGACCCAGACACACGACCCAGACACACGACCCAGACCCAGACACACGACCCAAACACACGACCCAGACACACGACCCAGACCCAGACACACGACCCAGACACACGACCCGGACACACGACCCGGACACACGACCCAGACCCAGACACACGACCCAGACACACGACCCAGACACACGACCCAGACACACGACCCAGACACACGACCCGGACATTTGACTCGAACTCGCGACCCGAGCACAATGCCGACTGCAGCACATCTGGAAGTTAGCTGGGAATACCAAACTAATTATGAGCGAACGTCCGTGCGTCTCCACTGATGCTCCATGCGGCCGATGTTGACCATACTTCTGTGCTCCTGGTGTACTTTGCAGGGCATGGGCCTCCGCTCTGGATATTACAGCGCCACGACGTTTGTCTACGTCGCGCACCTCGCAGCGATGCTGCTGTTTGGCTTGACGTGTATGCACGTGCAGGTACGTTGTGGGTAGCAGCACAGGGCCAACACTCTTGCCTCACAAGCGAGAAGCACCTGGGTTCGATCCCCGACTCGTGCGGGACTGTGAGCGAGTCTCTGGAGTTTGTGTTCTCTGCCGGCTCTGCGTGGCTGGCCTCCGCCGCCGGTTACCTCCCATCGACACGCACACACACAGCATCACTGTAATCTGCAGACCATCCAATGACCAAGTTGGCATCACGCAGCAACAGCAGCATCGCCCCCCTACTGGCAGGACCCTCCTGAAAGAGAGTCTTGAGACTCAGTGAGGGCTTTCTGGGCAAACGAGCAGAATTAAGATGATCATAGTAACGCCAATGCACCTTGTTTCTGTGTTGCAACTTTTTCCAATTAGGTTCGAATAATAATAGTTACAAACACTAATCGTAAAAGAAGAAGAATAAATAATTATGGAAATAATAATTCATAAATATTATTGTTTCAATAATTATGAAAAATAATAATTATTAGAATAATAAAAAAACTGTTCTGTTGCAACTTTTTCTAATTGGGTTTGAATAATAATAACACTAATAATAAAGTAATAATGTAAACAATAATATAATGAATAATGACATTTAGACGATTTAGAAAAATAATAGTAATTAAAAGAATAATAATAACCGTCTTGCGTTGCAACTTTCTCAAACTGGGTTGCTTCCGTGGGGTTAGCGATTTAACGAGGTTGCTGGTTCCATTCCATCTCCCGGCACGGTGGTTTAAACAACAGGGAAGTTTCACTAAACTACCCCTCTCCCCCCATCCCGTGTCTGTCCACTGTCCACCCAGCAGCAGCAGAAACGAGTCCACAGCACTCAGCAAGTCGGCACATTGTGTGTGGTGGGGTCAAGTGTGAGTTGTGGGTAGCCCCCCGTCTCTTACAAGATGTGCGGCAGGTGTGGAATAGTAGACCAATGTTACCCGCAGTGGAGGCCCTTCCAGCCCTGCAGTGGTCGTGAGCAGAGCACTTTCAGGGCTGCGCCTTTAAGCTAAGGACATCACTCGCTCACTGGTAACTCGGTTAAGATCATCGACTCGCGGCTGCGTTTGTTGAGGACCCGGTTTAACCACGGGCGGATAAACCCCGCTCCCGAGCCCTAGCCTAAACCTTTTTGTCTCCCAGGTAAGGACTGCGCCTTAACCCTGGTTCCCTTTCTCCGATGAACGTGGCCTTGGCGATGCGCTGTGTCTGCCGCCCAGGTGCTCACGCGCTTCCTGGCCAGCTCCTGCCCGGCGGTTTACTGGTTTGCAGCTCACCTCACGCTCGGGCGGCACCTGGAGCCCGGGGGAGCGAGTCGGCGGCCGAATCCGTCGCGGGACGACGCCGTTGTCGACGGAACTTCATCGACGGCGGCGGCGGCGGATACTACAGCACCGTCGCCGACGACGTCATCCTCGACGTCATCCTCAACGTCATCCACGACGTCATCCTCGACGTCATCCTCAACGTCATCCTCGACGTCATCCACGACGTCATCCTCGACGTCATCGACGGCGCGACCACCGTCGTCGCCATCGTCATTCCCGCCCCGCTTGCCGCCGCATCTCGCGCGTCCAGCGACCTCCGTCGCAAGAAGGCATCTCGGCCGCGACCCGCCCGCCAACGAGCGCCGCCAGAGGGTCGGGAGCAGGGAGGCGGCCGACTCTCCGCACGCAGCGGCCCCGGACGGGCGAACAGAGCCCGGGGACGTGTACCGCCCGGGGCCGGCCGTGGGTTCCCCGGACGGGCGCCGAAGTTGGGCCGCGAGGCTGGGGGACGGGGCGGCCCGGGCGGCGCTCGGCGCCCTCCCCAGGAACGGCCTCACGGGCGACCTGGCGAGGTGGGGGGATCTGAGTGCCGCGGCCCGGCTCGTCTACGGATATTTCCTTTCCTACGCCCTGCTGGGGGTCGCGCTGCACTGCAACCAGTTTCCTTGGACGTAGCCAAGAGCAGTGATAGCAAGGCCGGTGACAGTCGCAGCGTCTTTCCCCAGGAGCAGGGATAACAACACTGGCGATAGTCAAAATAAGCGTTTTTTTTATTTTACCAGGTAAGGCCCGCTGAGCTGTATAGCTCTTTTTGAGAAGTGACCTGGCCACAAATGATAGCTCAGCCAACTGGCTATTCATCACGTGGAAATGTATAGCAGCAGTCAAAATTCTCTATAAACGTGTGATGTTGATTATAAATGTGGAGGGAAAAAATCTGAGGACCCAGAGAAAAATCCACGTGACCACGGGGAGATAGACATGCAAACTCCAAATATCCAGCAGGTGTCAGGGTCGGCATCATACCCACGACCTCCTGTATACCATGCGAGGTAGTTAACATCTCCCCAAAAGCAGTTAATAACAATCTATAGAGAGAACTGCAGAGCCTGGCAACTGCCTTCCAGATTTGTGGTTCAGCGATTGAGAGATGTCATTTCCATTCTTATTTGTATGATAATACATTTTCTTTATCCAACACTCTCACCGAGTCTCAAGACTACGTTTCAGGAGAGTCGTGCATTGGGATAATTTGGCAATTCGATTTTTTTTTACTTAGAAAAAAAAGATTGAGTGTTTTTTTTTAACTTTCATACTTTCATTTGTTGACTTTCCGTGTGTTTCTTGTAAACATTTAATTTGTCTTCGTTTGTGATAACCAATCGCGATGCTATTGGGTTCCCAAAACATGCTTCTTGTACAGAAGCTCCACTTCACTCTGCTGGCCGGATATGGAACTGCGTCCCTGATGAACACATTGTCGGCGAGATCACCGATTCCGGTCTTCAGGCCTTCAGATGCGGAGCACACACACGGGACATATCCTTACTTCACCACGCACCCCTTGTAGGGACTGAGCCATTGAGCTGCAGTGAACCAATGATCATGCCGATGAGATGTACTCATGTCTGATATGACTTTTGTTCACAATTGCACCCAAACAAAAAAAACAACCTGGATTGCAATCCAGTATCTCGGCTCTGATCGCTCAGCATGTTTGGCACGGCCATTATGAGGCCACGTTCTCAAGTAATGGTTGCACTTACACTTCACGTACGACTTGAACACATACTTGTTTCGAGTGTTTTAGGGGATTTTAAATTATTATTATTCCCACGCTGTTAAACCATCTTCTTTGTGATTTTTGTATCGGAGTATCTTAAAAAGATCTTCTTTAAACAGACTACCGTCTTTACTTTACTCGTGCAATAAAAGCCAAAGAGTGGAACTGGTTTGCTGCTCGGTTGAGTTCAAGGTAGTGCTCTTGGAACGTTACCCTCACCTCGTGGAGGAAATTCCACATTGCCATGGTTGGGACGGGTCATTCAATAGGACGGCTACTGTTGACTTCCACTAAAGTGGTGCCGATCTCGTTGACCTGGCTGAGTCAGCCCGGCATTGAATCAGCATCAGAATATTTAGACTGGAGGAGGAGGGGATAAAGGGGGAAAGAGGTGGCGAAAGGAGGGAGAATCGTGGAGGGTGGGAAGGAGAGGGGGAAAGTGGAGGGTGGGAAGGAGGGGGGGGGAAAGGGATAGGGGTGGGGAGGGGTTTGTCAACTGCCGGGAGTTGGAATCCAACTGGTGACTTCTGGACTGCGAGTCCAGCGCGTCGCGTGCTTCCACCGCAGGGCTGTTTACATCGCATGCCAGTGGCGAAGCTTCGCGGCCCCTGATCTCGATGTCCCATTGAGCTGAGAGCGCAGATACGTCGAGAGGTGTGAAGTAGCTCTGCTGTTTAATGACGAGAGGGCTGCTCGAGGGCCTCCTGGCCGCGGCCCTTGAGAAACGGCACGCGGCTCCGCCGCCGCTGCCACCGCCACCACCAGCACCGCGCATGCATCGATCGGGGCGGTGATTTGTCATGGCGTGAAGAGGGGCCGAGACAGGCGGGCGGACCGGGAGATGGAAAATTATCACGGCAGGCAGACAGTTGGGTAATATAGAGAGAGAGGCATTTATATAGCCAGACCTAGATGTATCGAGACAGACACACAGATATGGGGACAGACCCACAGATATAGAGACATACCCACAGATATGGGGACAGACCCACAGATATGGGGACAGACCCACAGATATAGAGACAGACCCACAGATGTGGGGACAGACCCACAGATATGGAGACAGACCCACAGATATGGAGACAGACCCACAGATATGGAGACACCCACAGATATGGGGACAGACCCACAGATATGGGGACAGACCCACAGATATGAAGACACCCACAGATATGGGGACAGGCTCACAGATATGGGGATACCTACAGATATGGGGACAGACCCACAGATATGGGGACAGACCCACAGATATGGGGACAGACCCACAGATATAGAGACAGACCCACAGATATGGGGACAGACCCACAGATATGGAGACAGACCCACAGATATGGAGACAGACCCACAGATATGGAGACACCCACAGATATGGGGACAGACCCACAGATATGGGGACAGACCCACAGATATGGAGACACCCACAGATATGGGGACAGGCTCACAGATATGGGGATACCTACAGATATGGGGACAGACCCACAGATATGGGGACAGACCCACAGATATGGGGACACCCACAGATATGGGGACAGACCCACAGATATGGAGGCAGACCCACATATATGGAGACAGACCCACAGATATGGAGACAGACCCACAGATATGGGGACAGACCCACACACCTGATGATGATTGCTTGTGTTTTGCAGTCGAAACGTCGTGAGAATTTTATTGTTTTACATTTTTATTATTTAATTGTTTCCCTTCTACGCGGTGACTTTACCGAAAGAACCAAGAATCTGAATACAAAAAGAGGAGTTCTAAAGAAATTCGTTTTCAACACACGGACAAGGGGAACAGAACTGACCAAGAGAACAATCGATGCACGCGTTCCAAGTCGATTCAGTGTCAGCAGGCGAGGACTTGGGAAGACGCGAGGGTGAGTCTCGTCGGCGCGGGTGATCTTTGCGTCGCCAACAAGCGACAAAAGCAAAGACAACAAAATTCAGCGATGCGCACGAGTCATCCAAAAGCGTGCACAGGACAGCATGCAGTGGTCCAATGCTGAAATCGCATCCCCCCGTCCCGTAAGGCAGCCACGGACGATTTGTTTTATTTGTTCGGCTGATCTGAGCACAACCGCAGATCCTACAGCGACGTTCACGCGCACACGTGGGTGGCCACAGAGGTCTCAAAAACACAAACGCGCGTGAACATTCGCGGGTTTGCGCGAAGGAAACTCGAGACGAAGGAAACTACAGCGAAACCTTGGATTGCGAGTAACCTGGTCTGCGAGTGTTTTGCAAGACGAGTAAAAAATTTAAGTAAATATTAATTTTGTAAACGAGGCGAGGGTCTTGCAATACGAGTAGTGCGCGTATACGCGTTTGTCTGCCGAGCGTCACGTGATCACAACTGATATACGAGTGCTTTGATGTACGAGTGCTTTGGATTACAAACACGTTTCCCGAACGAATTATGCTCCTCGCAATCCAAAGTTTTACTGTATTCGGAAAACGAAATAACATTCAGGGTCATCGGCCGACGACTACTTTAATTGAAACACACATTGACAGACGACACACGGACATAGGATTAATGGTACGGTGATCATAACTTAAAGCATACTAGATGTGTTTTTTTTATGGGAAGTGAGATCGCTTAAATGTAAATGTGTCGTCAAACCCGCGACCACCCGAAAGAACCAATTAGTAAGGGTTGTCACGTAAACAGAACGTGCCAATTAGTTACTGGTACAGCACAGCGGTAGTGTGTTGGAGAGTAAACCAGGTAATTACAACAAGCAGCATCATCAGGTGACAGCCAGAGTTGTGGAGAAAACCCTCCTCCTGTTTCTATGATGGATCATGGTGGTCGCGAAAGCCATCATTGAGAGCCTTGTGTGTCAATCCACTGCTGGATGAAGGACTTTCCACGCCACGTCGGTCATGGGAGTTGATTGACCGCAATCACTCCTCTACCCTGGTCAGCGCGTCAACGTCGCTGTAGATCGGCCCTGAAGGGGTGCCATGGGACTGGCGCAGCTCTCACTCGTCACTGATCACTGATCACTGATGTTCGTCACTGATCACTGATGTTCGTCACTGATGTTCGCCACTGATCACTGATGTTCACCACTGATCACTGATGTTCGCCACTGATCACTGATGTTCGTCATTGATCACTGATGTTCACCACTGATCACTGATGTTCGCCACTGATCACTGATGTTCGCCACTGATCACTGATGTTCGCCACTGATCACTGATGTTCACCACTGATCACTGATGTTCACCACTGATGTTCGTCACTGATCACTGATGTTCACCACTGATCACTGATGTTCACCACTGATCACTGATGTTCACCACTGATGTTCACCACTGATCACTGATGTTCGTCACTGATCACTAATGTTCACCACTGATCACTGATGTTCACCACTGATGTTCACCACTGATCACTGATGTTCACCACTGATCACTGATGTTCGCCACTGATCACTGATGTTCACCACCGATGTTCGTCACTGATCACTGATGTTTATCACTGATGTTCACCACTGATCACTGATGTTCATCACTGATGTTCACCACTGATCACTGATGTTCACCACTGATCACTGATGTTCGCCACTGATCACTGATGTTCGTCACTGATCACTGATGTTCACCACTGATCACTGATGTTCACCACTGATCACTGATGTTCGTCACTGATGCTCACCACTGATCACTGATGTTCACCACTGATCACTGATGTTCGCCACTGATCACTGATGTTCACCACCGATGTTCGTCACTGATCACTGATGTTTATCACTGATGTTCACCACTGATCACTGATGTTCATCACTGATGTTCACCACTGATCACTGATGTTCACCACTGATCACTGATGTTCGCCACTGATCACTGATGTTCGTCACTGATCACTGATGTTCACCACTGATCACTGATGTTCACCACTGATCACTGATGTTCGTCACTGATGCTCACCACTGATCACTGATGTTCACCACTGATCACTGATGTTCGCCACTGATCACTGATGTTCGTCACTGATGTTCACCACTGATCACTGATGTTCACCACTGATCACTGATGTTCACCACTGATCACTGATGTTCATCACTGATGTTCGCCACTGATCACTAATGTTCATCACTGATCACTGATGTTCATCACTGATGTTCACCACTGATCACTGATGTTCACCACTGATGTTCACCACTGATCACTGATGTTCACCACTGATCACTGATGTTCGCCACTGATCACTGATGTTCACCACTGATCGCTGATGTTCGCCACTGATCAGTGATGTTCACCACTGATCACTGATGTTCACCACTGATGTTCACCACTGATCAGTGATGTTCACCACTGATCACTGATGTTCGTCACTGATCACTGATGTTCACCACTGATCACTGATGTTCACCACTGATGTTCACCACTGATCACTGATGTTCACCACTGATGTTCGCCACTGATCACTGATGTTCACCACTGATGCTCGTCGTGATCAGCAATCAAACTCCGGTCACCGGGTTCATAGCCCAGTGGACGTCGCAATCCACTGCAGCTCCAACAATAGACAAAGATCCCCCGTATAGCCCAGACAGACTGGCGGGGCAAGTTGCTGTTAGCGTGCACCTACGAAGGCCGGAACGGTACCACGCCCGACCGCCTTTGTCTCCCCAGTGGCGATATTTACATGCCACATCTGCAGATACTCACAGGGGAGGCCCAGGACCGGTTCAGATAATCGTCACCGGTGTTGTTGGCCGTGAGCGCGAATCAAACTCGGGTCACCGGGTTCGTAGCGCAGCGCCCTCACCGCTACACCACCATCACTGTTACACCACCATCACTGTTACACCACCATCACCACTACACCACCATCACTGTTACACCACCATCACTGTTACACCACCATCACCACTACACCACCATCACCGCTGCACCACCATCACCACTACACCACCATCACCACTACACCACCCACTCCGTTACACCACCATCACTGTTACACCACCCACTCCGTTACACCACCATCACCACTACACCACCATCACCACTACACCACCATCACCACTACACCACCCACTCCGTTACACCACCATCACCGTTACACCACCATCACCGCTACACCACCCACTCCGTTACACCACCATCACCGTTACACCACCCACTCCGTTACACCACCATCACCGCTACACC